CACGGGGCTGCTGAGCAGAAACCAAGCTGAGTTCAGTGGGCAGGAGCAGCTAAAGATGGACTAGACCTCATCTAACTGACCAAGGAGAGACACCAAGATTTAGATGTCCTGGATTTGCTGCCCTTCAACCTGTCAGAGGTTCCCAGATTTGGGTTGGGAGGGACCTTAAAGCTCATCCAGTGCCACCCCCTGCCACAGGCAGGGACATCTTCCACCAGGCCAGGTTGCTCCAAGCCCCATCCAACCTGGCCTTGGACACTTCCACCTCAATGTGATGCTCCTGGCACCCAAAGAATCACCATATCCCTCTTTCCAGCTTCTCCTTTTAAAATTTTCCTGGGGAAAGGACAGCACAATATCGAGGATTCCCACCGAGACACTGAGGTTGTTCGGTGGTTCCAACCTGAAACCAAACCTGGCATCTGAAAAGCCCTTTTCCCTGCAATTCAGAGGGGATTTGCTGCAGGCACAAACCACTGGTTGTCCCAGGCAGTTTTAGGGGACACAAACCCAAACCATGGAATAGTCTGATCAAAGCAGGGGCTGCAGACACGGGGAACCCACGAGAAATAACACACAAATTCACCCCTGGGATGCCTTGTTTTGTTCCAGGAACATAAACCCAAATCATTTGAGTAATGCAGGAGTTGCAGGCACAGGGACAACCCAAGTGAGATAACACACAAATCAATTCCAGGGATGTTCTGTTTAGGTCCAGGCAGTTGTAGGGGCACAAACCCAGATCAACTGAGCAAAGCAGGAGTTGCAGACACACACACACACAACCCAAGTGAAATAACACACAAATCCATTCTGGGCATCTTTTTTTGTTCCAGGCAGTTGTAGGGACATAAACCCAAATTACTGAGCAAAGCAGGAGCTGCACACCCAGAGAACTCAAGTGAAATAACACACACACACAGAGATAACCTCCTGGGATGTCTTATTTTGTTCCAGGGACATAAAGTCAGATCACCTGAGCAAAGCAGGAGTTGCACACACAGAGAACTCAAGTGAAATAACACACAAACCCTCTCCTGGGATGTCTTGTTTTGTTCCAGAGACACAAACCCAAATCACCTCAACAAACCAGGAGCTGCAGGCACACAGAGCCCAAATGAAACGACCCACAAATTCACTCTTAGGATATTTTGGTTCGTTCCAGTCAGTTGTAAAGACACAAACTCGAGTCACCTGAGCAAAGCAGGAGTTGCAGACACAGAGAACCCAAGTGAAATAACACACAAATCCACTTTTGGGGACGTTTTGTTTTGTTCCAGGGACACAAACCCAAGACACCTGAGCAAAGCGGGAGCTGCACAGAGGGATAACCCCGAGTGAAAGGACACACAAAAGCAGTCCTGGGATGTTTTGCTCCCTATCTCCAGACACCCAAAGCCTCCCCTACGCCCATTTCTTCCTCAAGGCACCGTCAGCCCGTTTTTCTCAGGGAAAAGGAATGGGGATGAATAGTCCCATAAAGAATCCCAGCAGAGCCTGTCCTGCCCGGAGCCGCCACCACGCCAAGGTCCAACTCTCAATTAACCCCCGGCCGACCTTCCTTCACTTTCTTTCCCCCTCCTCTGCCCTTCCTGAGAAAGTTCAGCGTTTCCTGGAAAAGTCTCCCTGCCTGTTTGATATTGTACTTCGCCTTGGTTGCTGAAGGAAGGATTTACAGGTGCCTGGCCCCCTCTGGAAGACCATGACCGGAGGGTGACCTCCCGGTACAATATGTGAACTCCTGCCCTGCTGATAAGGCTGCCAGATATGAGTAGGATTTTTCAAATAATCCTTTGGGAATTTATAAGCAGCGCAGCCATAAAACCGAGGTGACTGGAAGGTCGATTTCACTAAAAATAATAAATATCCCAATGTTTATTCAACGTGGGCCTTTTTAACTGCAGGCCAAGCGTTGAGATAACGCCATTGTAAATGACAAATATTGGGATTTTTTGGTAACTATTGCATTATGATCCTTCCGCCTGACACTGATGTGGCCGTTTCCCTCGATGCTTGCAGGATCCCTGACATTGTTCAGCCCGAGCTGGGCCTGGAAAGCCAGGGCAGGATTCAATCACGGGTCAGGAAAAGGGCAGTTTTATTCTGGAAGGAGCCTCGGGAACCTTTTTCTGGTGCTCCCGTCTCACTAACACACCTTCTGCCCTGGGGGGTTTCTCCTTATTAGGGATTTTGGTGGAAAGATAGAAGGAGGAATGGGAGGACTGAGGGATCTCAGCTCAGGGTGGGGACACAGGACACTGAGCTGGCAGCATGGAATCCCTGCTCCAGGTTTATCCTCCCCATGGAATCATTTCTGGTGGGAAAGGCCTCGGACATCGAGTCCAACTCCAGCACTGCCAAGGTCACCACTGACCCCCGTCCCCAGGTGCCACATCCACAGGGATCTTAAATCCCTCCAGGGATGTGGATCCACCATGGCCCTGGGCAGCTGTGCCAGGGATGGAAAAACCTTTCCAGGAAGGAATTTTCCCAATATCCAACCTGAACCTCCCCTGGCACAGCTTGAGGCCGTTCCCTCTCCTCCTGTCCCTTGTTATTTGGGAGAAGTGACTGGCCCCACCAGACCCCACCCTCCTGTCAGGGAGTTGTGGAGACACCATCACCAAGTCTCCTGCACTATTCCCACCTCCAGCAGAAGACAATCCCACCCAGATCCATCCCATGGAGTTGGCCATGAAACCTGCCTTGGAACAGCAGCATTTCCCTGATACATTTTGGAGGGTCGACTGATATTTCAGATTAAAAGGCAAAGCAACAAGACGACAAACAAAAACAAAAAAACATCAAATGTAGAAACAAAACCATTTGAAATGTGCCAAACTGCTCCAGCCACCACCAGAATCTCTTCATCCTCCTCCTCCTCCTCATCCCACCTTCAGGTACAAACACACCACTAAATCCGCACCCAGGCCCGGGAGCTGCTCCAGCATCATCCCTAATATCCTGCTTCCACTATCCCTATTTCCCCCCCAGACCTTTCCCCAGAGAAAGAGGGTCACTTTGAAAGCCACGAAACCTCTCAGAGCAGTTGTAACCTTCGATCAGCGAACGAATCGAGGAGGAGGGTTTGGTCCAACACAAACACGGCAACGCAATTTCGGGGGAGGGCAACTCCTCCATCCCGACAAAATATCCCAGCAAAGGAGCCAAATGGCTTAATTATGAACAGCTGAGGGCACAGAAAGACATCTTATATAACTGGGGTTTAGGACGATTCTCCTCCTTCAGCAGAATTTCTACGTATTGCTGGAGAAACTTTGGAAGGGCCTTAAAAACAGTTCCCTGTCAAGCCTGGCTTGGAAAGGGAGGAAAGCTGGGAACAGAGTGTTCCTTTCATGTGCTGCCTGGGCTCTGGAATGTCCAACCACGGGAGAAGAGCCCTCCAACAGCTCCCAAGCTCCTTAAAAAAAAAAAAAACACGGATGCAGACCCCCCAGGTTGGGTGAGTGGGTGGACGCAAAGCTGGGGAGCCGCTGGAAGCGCTTCGGGAATGAAGAGTCCGGGGGGTGAGCTCCAAAGGGAGCCTTATCTGAGCTCCTGATTAATTAATAATGACCAAATTAATGCCTTGAGTGCTCATTAAGGCCCAGGAGGAAGAGCAGCTCGAATAGAGGAGCTGTCCTGAAAGTTCTCAGGAACTGGCACGGCTCAGGGTGGCAACTGGCAGTCAAAAAATGCCAGCCTGGCACACAACAATTCCAGGGGGACATCATTTTTCCATCAGGGATCCGGGAGAGATCCAGCCACATGTGGGTTCGGTGGCATTTGGCAGCAAATCTGCCCCTGGCAAATGGATGCTTGAACAAATCCCTCCCCAAAACTCCTCCATTTGCACTAAATAAAGAATATACCGTGGCCAAAGATGAAGTCTTGGAGGAAAAATATGCCAAAAAAATCATAAAATCAAGCAAATTCCTCCCCCAAAACTCCTCTGTTTGCACGGAATAATGAAGATACCGTGGACAAAGGGGAATTCTTGGAGGAAAAATACGTGATAAAATCATAAAATCAAACCAATTGTTCCCCAAAACTCCTCTATTTGCACTGAATAATGAAGATACAGTGGACAAAGATGAATTCTGAGAGGAAAACTTTGTCAAAGAATCATAAAGTCACCCCAATTCCTGCCCAAAGCTTTTCTATTTCATTGAAAAACTAAGATATTGTGGACAAAGGTGAATTTTTGGAGGAAAACTGTATCATAGAATCATAGAATCCTAAAATCAAACCAATTATTTCCCAAAGCTCCTCAACTTTCACCGAATAATGAAGATACTGAGGCCGAACAAGAACTCTTGGAGGACAGATATGTCAAAAAATGATAAAATCAAACAAATTTCTGCCCCAAACTCCTCTATTTGCACTGAATAATGAAGATACTGTGGACAAAGGTGAATTCTCGGAGGAAAACTGTGTCATGGAATCACAGAATCACAAAATCCAACCAACTCCCCCCCCAAATTCCTCTATTTAAATGAATAATGAAGATTTTTGAGACCAAAGATGTATTCTTGGAGGAAAACTATGTCAAAAAATCATAAAATCAAACCAATTCCTGCCCAAAACTCGTTCATTTGCATTGAATAATGAAGATACTGTAGACAAAGATGAATTTTTGGAGGACAAAAGCATGACAGAATCATGGAATCAAACAAATTCCTGCCCCAAACTCCTCTTTTTTTCACTAAATAAAGAAGATAGTGCGGGCAAACATGAATTCTTGGTGGAAAATCAGCCAACTAAGAAACATATACATTAAAAACTCAGGATTTGTGACAATTGGAGGAAACACCCCTTTATATTTCCAAGCTCTGCATGAAGCAACTCCAAGGGTTTCACCCAAATCCATCCATCCCTGGGCTATTTTCTCCTTGGGAATGCACTTTTGAGCAAGAGATTATAACTAAATACAAATTAATCGATGTTTTCAAGCACCTCCTTCCAGCAGCATCCCCTTCCTCAGCCAACAAGTTACTCACCAGGACAGAGTAGATGTGCAGGCATCGATAAACGGGGGAGAAATCCACCAAATCCTGGGCTCCAGGCACCTGGAAAACGGCAGGAAAACGGGTATAAGATATGTGGAACACGTACAGGGAAGTGGAACCTCCCCCAAAAAGAAGTGCAACTGAAAAAATTCTATATATGCGTGCCAGTCTGAAAATTAATCAATTAGGAATAAATGCCACTGTGGAAAAAAAAAAATCACACCTGAGTAAGTGCAGTTCTTAAAAAAAAATAATGTATAAATAGTTGTCACTCTAATTAAAATAAAAAATCACCTTGAGGTTAGTGCAATTCTAAAAAAAAATATTATGGAATATATATTATAATGTATAAATGTCAGTCCGAAATATCAAATAGAGGTGAGAGCAACTCTAACACAAGCAGGTGTAATAATGAGGTTGATAATATATGCTCGTTCTATAAGATTATATGTGTTTTCACTTAATTTTTTTCTCATTTTGTCACGGTTTTAAAGCGGGAAAATGTCCTTTAGTGCTGGTTTTGCCCCGTTTCCAACCCCACGGGCTCAAACGCCGGCCCGAGCCCTGCCGGTCCTTAGGCAACAAAAGGGGATAAAATAAACCAAACCCAATTAATTCTTCAGATTTCCAGTTTGATTTTTTTTTCCTTAAAAAAAAAAAGAAGCTGGAATTGTTATTTTATTTTGCCTTCTGTGTGTGTGCTCAGGGAAGAGGCGCCACAGAGGCTCCACCACCTTTCAACAACACACTGAGTCGTGCGCAGGGACGAGGAAGAGCCTTTTTCCAAGGGTGGGATGGAGGGAGGGAGTGGCACTGCGGAATCGGGGGGGGGGGAAAAGGAAAGATCAGAGGGGAAATTTGCATACAAGAGGCTCTGGTCCTTTGGAGATGTTGGAGGGAACACGGAATGAAGACTTGTTGGCCGAGGCTTTAAAGCCGAAGGAACCGTCCTTCGCCCCGAAAATCCGGAGAGCAGGGGCGTGTTCTGTTGACATGTGGTGGGGGGGAAAAAGAAAAAAAAACAACACAAAAAAAGGGGGGAGAAAGATGAAAGGGCCCAATGGACAGGCCTTGGAAACATGTTTATTATTTTCTATATTTTTAATTGCGCTGCAGAGGCCTTTGGGCTGGGCAGGAGGTGGGATGAAGAAAGAGGAGTTTCTGGAGGAAGGGAGGCTTTGCCAACCTCAGCCCAAAGCGCCCGGGGGCCAGAGGGTCCTGCTCGTCTCAGCCAGCAGGGAGGGCAGAGGGATGGGCTGGGAAGGGGGAAAAGGGGGATTTTTGGGAAAGGAGCTCCTGTGTGATGTGGAAATGGAGGTGAAGAATCTCCTCCATGCAAAGAAACTCAGGGCTCGGCCCTGCACGGGTCCTTGGTGGGAGCGGAAATGATGGAGCACAGACTGGTTTGGGTTGGAAGGGAACTGATGGATCACCTCATTCCACCCCTCTGCCACGGACAAGGACACCTTCCACTAAAGTAGGTTGCTCAGGATCCAAAAAAAACAAAGATACAGAGACAGAAACTAAAGCTGCAGACACGGGAATAACCAATCCTGCACCACTGAGAACCCCAAAAAAACTGACATTCCCAAGCCAGTGGTGCAGGGAAGGGAAGCAGGAGCCTCACTGGGAACAAGGTAGCAAAGAGAATTAATTTTTGGGGTGCTGTGAGCCCACCTCACCCACCCACCTCACTGCACTTTCCTTCCCACCCCTGCTCCTCTGGACGAGCAGGGTTGGCTCCCCAGAAAGCTTTCCATGGAAAGGATGAGGGTGGGATCACCTGTGCGACCCTCTCCATCTTCATCCTGGATGCTCAACACAACCCATCTGAAGGCTGGGAGAGCTGGGGGGGGTTCCCTTGGAGAAGAGACCTGAGAGCCCTTTACCTTCTATAACCCTTTATTTGAGAACTGCAAAGACGAGGCAGCAGTTTTATCCCATCAATGCCAATATCATCACGCCTTCCAGGTCCTTGATTTTTCCATCTGGAGCCTCTCAGGCCTTCCAAACCCCCGGGACAGCTACCAGAGCCACATTTCAGCTGCTCTGTGGCCTCCTCGGGCCGCAGTTTCGCCCCACCGGCGTTGAGAGCAATCGCCCTCCGGTTGCTGAAACAAGTTTTTAAACGCTTCTGGCTCCCAAATCCCTGATTGCAAAACTCCTGGAGATGGCTGGAGCAGACAGGGAAGCACCAGCAGCCCCTCCCCGTCCACCCCCCCAGCGCCCACCAGCCGGGAGGGCAGCGCCGTGTCCACGCCGCGTGGGAGTGGGGGAGGAGGGATCTGTCATCCCTTCCCATCACCATCAAAGCGAATTTCAACTCGACATCAAACAGCTCGGACCGGGGAGGCTGAGCCCAACACGATCCACGGAGAAAAATTCCTGATAAAGGTCTGTGAAATCGGGATATTGCCAAAAAAAAGCCGGAGTTTCCTTCCAGCCCTCCAGCCCCCCACCCCCCCAAACCCGCCCCGAGAAATTCTTTCAAAGCAACTGCAGCGTTTTCACAGTCTCTGATCTTCTGTTTAAACTTCTGAGCCCACACACGCTCCCAAAAAATCTGCTGGGCTGCTCTGCAGAGCTCCCAGTTCCGAGCCGTGAACACCCAGAAAAATTCCTGATAATTGTCATGTTCCCAATCCCGAATACCTAATGGAGGAATGACATTATGGGGACGTGGAAGGTCAACCCTGGACCACAAGGAAGTCTGTGGGAAATAAAGCCAAGCTCCCAGAGCTGTGCTGGGATTTTAAGCAGGGCATAAATATAAGTGTAATGTAAGTAATAACATAATTATGATATAAATGTATATGGATTTAAAGAAAAAAACAGACCATGTCTTACACACACACACACATCACAGCCCCACAAAACCAATCCAATTATTCAAAATATTTCATAAATAGCAAATATAGGTCTTGGAACATATAAAAAATATTTGAACTTGCATCCAGCCCTGGTGTCCTCAGGACAGGAAGGACGTGGAGCTGCTGCAGAGAGTCCAGAGGAGGCCCCGGAGATGCTGCCAGGGCTGGAGCCCCTCTGCTCTGGAGCCAGGCTGGGAGAGCTGGGGGGGTTCCCCTGGAGAAGAGAAGGCTCCAGGGAGAGCTGAGAGCCCCTGGCAGGGCCTAAAGGGGCTCCAGGAGAGCTGGAGAGGGACTGGG